CTCCGCGCGGTCCGGCCCTGCGCTCCTACCCCTCCCCTCCCGACGCCGCGCCCAGCTAGGACGAAGGGGCCCCGTCCGGGGTGGGGTGGGGGATCCCTGGGAAGGACGCTCGCAGAAGAGGAAGGGTCGGTGTGCGCGGGAGGCAGAGACGCGGGAGCCGAGAAGGGGTCACTTTCCTGCGAGCTGTGACACAGGGTGCAGGGCGGTGGACAAGAGCTGCTTGCTCTCCCCTCCTGCCACCCAGAATCCCCAGGAGAGGGGATGAGAGGGTTGGGCTCTGGGGCGTAAGCCACACCCCCACCCAGCACCCTAGCAGTGAAGACACGCAGCGGAGGGGTGGGGCCGCGAGGAGAAGGTCCCGAACCCCTAGCCCCTGGCGACCGACCCAGGCTCGACTCCGTCGGACCTGCTGAGCCCGAGGCGGCGCGCGTCGCCGCGATGCGAGCGCCCCCTGCAGCCACTCGCGGGTCGGAACAACTCGAAGCCATCAGGAGCCCGGCATCCCAAAGCCGGTGGGAAGCGACTGGGCCTGGGATTTGGGACTTCGGCTTTCCTGCTGCAGCCTCACTTTCCCTAATGAAAGGCTAAGGAGGTAAGAGGGAAACTGGCTTGGACTCGAATCAGCACAGTGGCTCCGGCCGGGTCCGGGAAGGAGCGTGGCGGGCGCCAGCCTCTTGACCAATGGAAGGAGGGTGTCGCTCCGGGCGCTGGACCTAATACCCCGGTGGGTGGGTGGGGTGGTGTCTTCTGCAAGCGTCGCGAAGCACTGACGCGTCTGGGGGCCGGAGTGTAGGGGGCGCCCTGTGCCCTCCGCACGGACGCCCCGAAGCCCCTCTTGGGGTGGCAGTGGAAAGGAGGACTGAGGCAAGAAGTTCAAGCTAAACCCCCGCCCTATCCCCTCCCGCGAGCTGCTGGGCGGCAGCTCTTGCTCAAGGACCCAGCCAGGGCAGCCGTAAGGGGCACTGTCCACAGCTTCCGGAGCCCCTAATGCCACAGCCCAGCAGAGAACCAGCCCCTAGTGCTGCAGGCCGTGCTCTGTAAATAAACATCCATCCCATCGCTGAACGTGAGGCTTTCACCTCGGGCCCCTGCTTGGCCTGCCCACCTCCATGGAAGCATGTGACCTCTGGGTGCCAGACCCCAGACCACCCACCCAGCCATGTGGGGGTCCCGAGAGCAGGTTCGTCCTCCATCTTTTGCTGTCTGTTCCGCACTGCGACAGCCAGGTGGAGTGGGTGCTGCCAGGTTCAGAGAATCCAGCCAGCCTTCATCTGTGTGCCCCACCCAGACCTCAGCCAAAGCAGACCCCTCCAGAGACAGGATTTAGGGATGTGTCCTTCCCACATGCTGGACTGGGCAGGGCTTCAGTCCACCCATGGTTACCAGTGATGGAGAGTCCTCAGTCCACGGTGGAAAGACTGAGGGGGTGGCTGTAGGCCTGGGGAGTGGATGCTTAGGCAAGTTCCTTCCTGTCCCTATACCTCTTCCCCTGGGCCAGCAGAGTCTGGGCACCCTGGAGGCTGGAGGAGCATGGGGAGGAGGGGCCACCTTTGCATCTCCCACTAAGGAGGATCAACCCAGACACTGACCAGCAGCACTGAGATTGTCTTCTGTCCTGTCTTTCTTATAGTGCCTGGCCTCCTCTGTGCTGCAGGTCCTGAGCCAAGGTTGTCCACAGCTGCCCTCCCTACCCCTAAGTTCCCAGGAAGGATGCTCACCTGGACCTTCCCCCAGGGAGCATCTCCAGGTCCTAAGAGCACCAAGCTGTGCTGGGTGCCCTCTACTGGCCAGTGGGGCACAGCTGAGACACACTGTACTGGCTGGGACCTGAGACACACTCACCAGGAGAATAGTGGGAGCTGCCCAGGCTCTGTAATCCCTTCTGCAGCCATCACTGCCACCACTCCTCCTAGACCCACCACAAGTGCTGTGCTGGGTGCTGCCAGCTCTCCAAGGCAGTGGTGCTGTTTCATAAATGAGCCCTCTGCTGTCTGCAACTCTCCCTCCTCCAAACACACCTGCACACTTCTGGAGCCTGCCTGCCCACAGCAAGTCTTCGCTCCTCCCACTGTCACTGCACAGCAGTGTGTGGTCAGGGCCCCACCCTTCTGTCCCCACCTCACCAAACAGTGCCTCCTGCACATGCCCCAACCCCTGCGCCCGGTCCTTGCCAGGGCTGATTATCCTGCCAGACACCCCTCTTTACTATGCCTTCTCTCTGGGGTCCATGCCCCGATGAGGTGCAAAGGGCTCATTGCACTGTCCCTCTCCTTCCCAGTGGACATCCTTCCCTGTCCCAGATCTGGCAAGGTTGTTCGATGGTGAGGGACAGCAGAGCAGCCCCTCTCCTCTCACCCAGGGCTCTGTTCCTTCAAGTGCATGATACACAGCAGAGCCTGTCAGGCAGTGCCCAAGGGTCCTCGGAAAGAGGGACAATGGGGAGGGGTGGCCTACCATGTTAGTGCCATTTTTTCCACAGAAAGACAAGGCCATTGAGACCCTAACAGGAAATGAGACAACTTAGCCAAAAGCCCTGGAGTCACTCCTTCCCCAGGCCCAGAGGTGATGTGCTGGCAGAAGTGTGCTGGGCAAGACCCCAGCCGCTCCCTGCCCTCCTTGCCCTCAGGGAACCCCAGAACTGTTCTCCACGCTTTGCAGCCACCCCAGCCTTTTTCAGACCCACCTTGTACAGCCCAGCCTCCCACCCCCAGCCCTGCCATTCTCTGCCTGCATCACAACACACCCTACAAAGCCTGAATCCCGTCTGTTCCTTTGACCAGGCTGCTTTTTTCTGGCACAGAACCCTTACTGCATTGACTGACTTTGCTTCAAATTTACGACCACAAATCTCCCAACTTTCCCAGCATGCTCTTTTCCCTCTCCAGCTCTGCATCCCTCCCTACCTCCCTTTGTGCCTCCCAGTGCCCATGCTGTGGCTTTCCTGATCCTCCAAAGAGATAGAAGCCCCCACCTGCATGCCCATCTGTATTGAATCCACAGACAAGTCCTCCCGCAGGCCCTGCAGTCCAGCCCCAGCCATCCGGCCCAGGACTCACTCCATCGGCAACACCTCCTGCTCGGTCCCTGCCTCCTATTTTGTCCATAACCCTCAGGAGTCACCACAGCCATCAAGGGTCCTGGTGGCTACCAAGGCCAGGCCTAGTTCTGTCTTCCTCTTGGTGGTTTCTCAGTGAGAAGAGATGCAGCAGCACACTGTCCTCCAACACTAAGGTGCTACTCCTGCCTCAGAGACCGCCCTGTCTCAGCCTCTTCTCCCAGCTCTAATTCATCAGTCCTCACAAGGGACACTGGATGCCATCTGGAGACACCTTTGTCCAGGCACAGGGCAAGGAGGTTTTGACTGGCATCAGGTGAGTAGAGGCCAAAGGTGCTACTAAACACTATGCCATGTGTGGAACAGTCTCACAGCAAAGAGCCCTGCTGGGGTCCTAGAGTCCCTGCTCCCCTGTATCTAAACTCTGGGGGAGTTCCCTGCCATCCCACAGCACACCGGTGTGTTTCTGCTGTCCTGCACTGTCCCTCCCTGACCCACCCATGAGTATGTCCCCATGCTCCCCAATACAGACCCCACACATGACCCCTACAGGAGCTGGCAAAAACCACACTGTCACTGGAACTTCAGGACCAATCTCGGCCCAGGCCCCACTCCCTAGCTGTGGCACCTTGAGGAGGCCCACATGCTTCCTAAAGCCCATCTCCCCCTCTGGAAAGAGTATGCAACCCCCAGGGGCCACCCACGGGACTCACCTGTGAGAGTCAACACAGCACAACACACACAGCATTAAACCAATTTTATTTGTGCCTTCACCTAACAGCTGAGCCCCTGGTTCTCCTCTGGTATACCCCTCGATCGTCAGGTCCCCAGCATGGTACCCTTGAGGGTTGGGGGGCACCCAGAGAGTCTCTTTGCTCATGGGACCTCATAGGGACAGCCAGGGGCTTAGGAAGTTGTGGGGCTTGGTGAAGGAGGACAAGTGGGGTGACTCCTGTAGTGTCCCCTCAGGGTAGGGCTCCTGGAGTGACCAGAGGTGGAGATGAACTTCTAGTCCTCTATCCAGGCTCTTGTGTTCTTGCCCTTCTCTGTAACCTCAAGGGCTGGGGCAAAAACAACAGCAAATATAGCCAAGCCTGCCTTCTACGACAGACCTAGAGGCCCTTCTGTCCCTAGGAACCCTTAGGGAAGGGACACAGAGGACAGTCCAGGCCTATAAGGGCCGGGCCAGGTTGGGGCTAAAAGACAGAGGTGCTGCCCAGAGGGGCCCTTGGCTCCTCCAGGCGGAACAGGCTCTGTCTTTGGGGACAGAAACCACTGATTCAAGCGCCAGGCATCCCTCCAAAGTGACTTCCAGGTTCCCAGCCTCCGTGTAGAGCTGGGTTCTCCACAGCAGCCTGGTCAGGCGCCAGCTGCTCTCCAGCTTCTGGAAATGGGGCTGGAAGGTCCGTGGGCACTTGTGCCAGCCAGGATGGCTCCAGAGCCATGCCCAGGGCCCCTGCTCCAGGCCTTGACCTTGGGGAAGAAGCCAGGGTCTGAGGTGGCCTTCCCAAGGGCTCCACACTAAACTTTCTCGTGGCAGGGGGCTCCCACCCATGCAGGGTCTCCCTAGGTCCTGCAGCAATGCGCTGGCCATCAGCCCGAGGGCCACTGGGGTCGCAGCTCCTGGACTCCCCCGGCAGTGCTTCCAGGAGTCTCTGCAGGTAGGGTCTAGAGGCAGGCATGAGGCTCCTGCCATTGTTGTGGGCCTGGAACCCTGGAGTAGGAGACAGGAGTCAGGTCCTGGAATCACAGGAGGAAGCCTTGGCCTCTGCCAACAGCCCAAGCTGGCTTCGGCTTACTCCAGCAGACTTGAGCCTGGCTCACAGGCCACTGGGTAAACCACCATGTCCCTGCTGAGCCACTGGCCAATTCCATTTAGACCCAAACTCCTACAGCCCCACCAGCAACAAGACAGCAGAGCCTAAGGTCACCACCCAAAGATCCCACAGCTTCTGTGACCTCTCCTTCAGGCCCGAGACTGCTCTGTCAGCCGAGATCTGCAGTCCTCACCCTCAGAACCCTCCCTCCCACTGCTCCAGCACAGTGACACCCCAGCCTTGCCCACATCCAGAACTGTCATCTAGAACCTTCCTGTGGTCTGCTTTCTCCAAACCCTGAGCCCTCCAGTGGACCCTTCTCCATTGCCTTCCATACACCCAGACTCCCTCAGCCACCTGCCCGTCCCAGCCTGGTCCTGCCCAGCACCCGCTCCCTCCAGCCCCATGTCTCTCCTGGTTTCATCTCTCAAGGAAGTGCTTCTTGCCTTCTCCTTCATGGTCCTCCTCTCCTCAAATCTCTGGCCTCTGCCCTCACTCATTGCAGGACCAAGGCAGCTATCTTTGGATCCATGTGCAGACTCAGTCTGTTCCTGGTCCTTCCTGAGCAGTTCAAACCCAGCCCTCCAGGGGCAGCCCTTCCCGAACATTCTGAATTACCTTCCCTGTCTGCCATAGCCACCCCTTCTCTTTCCCAGATGGTCATTATTTCAACACCCAAACACACTGACATGTTTCCTATCTCAAAAGAACCTTCCCTTGACCAGTCCCTCCCAGCCACCTCCCAGCTTCCTGCTCCTTCTGATAGTCACACCTCTAGAGTGAACCACAAAGTTCTCACCCTCTAGAGTGAACCACAAAGTTCTCACCTTATCTCAACTTTTTAAAAAGATATGCTTCATATGATTATGTGTATATAGGGGGAAACATTTTTAGGAAATCTGGGCATGGTGACGCATGCCTGTAATCCCCGCATTTAGGAGGCTGAGGCAGGAGGGTTGCTATGACTTTAAGGCCAGCCTGGGCTACATAATGAGTCAAGGCCAGTCTGAACTATGCAGTGAGACCCTGTCTCAAAACAAAAAAAATCTTTAGGAAATTAATATGGGACAATTTGACAGCCACATGCAAAAAATAAAAGAAGCCTCCCTCATACCATACATACCATACCCAAATTAACCACAGATGAATCACAGACCTAGATGTAGGACCTAACAGAAGAAATTACAAGCATAAATCTTTTGTAGACTCGGGTTATACAATACCTTCTTAAGACATGTACCAAAAGTACAGTGATAAAAGTTAAAGTTTGATACCTCTTATCAGTATCTTCCCAAAAGAATTAAAAGCATCATACCACGGTGATATATGCACACGCATGAATACAGCAGCACAGCGTGTACTAGCTAAGTCTTAGAAACAGCCCAAATTCCCATCAACTGATGGAAAAAAGATGAGGGTTCTTATACAATGGAGTACTACTCTGCCATAAAGGACGAGCTTCAGACGTTTATAGCTAAATGGATGGACCTTGAGATCATACTCCTAAGCAAAATAAATTGGACATGCATGTTTAAATACTGTATAGTTTCTCTGATGTGAGAAACCAAAAGTGGAAATAAGGACTGAAATGTATAATGGAGGTTGGGAAATGGAAAGAAAGTGTTTAAATCGGAAGGGGAACAAGAGAGGAGGGAGGGGGAAAGGAAGGGAGGGACAAGAAAAAAAGTGAAAATAGAAGGAAAAAAAATCGAAATAATGTTTTTGTACATCAGGAGGAAAGAGGGCTGGGGGTGGGATAAAATAAAATTCATTTTAAAAAAGAAAAAGTGTGAACTTCACACCATTAAATGTTCAAGAAAACACCATCTTAAAAGTGAAAAAAATATCCATAGAATATGAAAATATTTCCAAATGATAACAGTGGATAAGGAGTATGTAACTAATTCTTACAACTCAGTAAGGAAAAGACAACCCAACTGAAAAACAGGCGAAGGGTCTGTAGATACCCTTCTCCAGAGAAGAAACACAAGTGGCCAATTAGTACATTCAACATCTTAATCATTAGAGAAACGCGAGAGACAATGAGACTTTTTTTTCACCCATGAGGACAGATTAAAAGTGTGGGCAAGGGTTTAAAGAAACTGGTACTTTCCTGCTTGCTGGTGGGAAGGAAAACACAGTCAGCTACTTTGAAAAAGAGTTTAGTAGTTAACGATGGAGTTACCATAGGCCCCAGTGATTCCATTCTCAATATATACTGAAAAGAAATGTGTTGACACAGAATCTTGTATGTTCACGATAGAACTATTCATAATAGCCAAAAGGTGGAAACCACCCAAATGTTCAACTGATGAAAGCTACATATGGATGGGGGTGGGAATAGGTTTTTTTGGAGTGGGTAAGACAGTCTTGCTATGTAGCACAGGATGAACTACATAAGTCCCTGTCTCAGAAAGAAAAAAAAAAAAAAAACACCTTAAATATATACATATCTTAGTCAATGATAAGAAGACAAAGTTTTAAAAGTTAAAATCTCTCCAAATTGAGCTAGAGATTTCAATAAATTCCCACTCAAAATCCCAGTAACTCTTGACAATGTTCATGGGGGTGAAATTCTAAACTTTATATGAAAACCCAATCATGGACAATACAGGGACTTATCCCAGCACGTGTCGTCAGTTTATAAAATGTCTCTATGTAAATGTAAGATATACAAAATATAGAAATGTATGTATGTCTCTAGCATCTAGAGTCTGTAAAGTATCTTTAGAGATGGACAGCACTGGTTCAGGGATAGAGCGTTGCTCCTGGGAAAAGGACAGAAAGTTCTGAAGTGGACCTAAAAGTGGATCCCTTTTCACCATACGCAATGTTAACTTTCCCGTGTGCTTTTCCACGGTGATCAGTGTCCGTGCGTGTCCAATGCCCCTGTCACCCCCACATTCTCTCCTGGCCCCTCCCCACCACTCACCGCTCCCGTGGGGGTTGGGGCTGCCTGGGCTGCAGTCGTAGAGCCTGCGGACCCTGGCGATGTCCGAGGTGCTCAGGTTCCACCGCTGGCCAATGTGGACACTGGGGGCCCAGAGTGGGATGATGGTGGGCTCCCCACGCCGGCTGAAGGCGAGCCTGGAAGCCAGGTGGCTGCATCAGCCTTGGGGTGGCAGGGGAGGGAGGGAAGGAGATGGGAGAGGGGCGAGTTAGCTCACCTCCCGTAGTGCATCACTGATGAGTAGTCGTAGGGTGCCAGCATATTACTGCTCCGAGATTTGACAAAGTTGATTTCAAAGCCTTTAAGAAAAAAAAAATCTTGGAAATGCATGGAGAGCAGGCGGGTCACAGAAACAGGGAAGACTTTGGGAGTTTATAACCCACCTCAGCTGAGAAGTTTGAGACCACAGCCAAGTGTGCACCTTGCACACTTGTCCCTTGCCCTCTTCAAGTGCTGCACCAGGTGAGGCAGAAGCACAGGGACCTTGCAGCCAGTCACCTCATCCGTCCTACTGCCTCACCCTCCTCTCCCGTCCACCCCGCACGGGGAAGACTCACCTTCCCAGACCCAGTGTTCACAGAGCCATGGGCTTCCAGGGTGACTTGATCACCTCACGGCCTGTCTACTCCTCCACCCAGCTTTACAGACCTGCTTCCTCCCTGTCTGGGTTGTGATGCCTCACTCCCAACACCTGATCATCCTGCTTCAGGCTGCAAACCCCCACAATTCCGTCACTGTCACCTTGGCTGGCCAACATCTCTCCATCACAGGGGATCCTGGAAGGGGAAGGGGCTGGGTTCCCTGCTATCCTGCTGAGTGGATGCCTGAAAGAGCAGCTGTGCCCTTCCTCCTTCCCCACTGCAGACCCTGCAGCAGTGACCACCACACCTCCTGTACCACCAGGTCACCAGCAGCCACCTTATCACTGAATAGAGCAGCACTCCAGGACTTCTGCCACCTCCCTGAGGTAGCACACCCTAGAGCTTTTTGTTTTTGCCGTACTAGGGGTTAAACCCAGGGAATGATGAGCTACATCCCCAGCCCTTCCTGAGGCAGGGTCTCAATAAGTTGCTCAGGCCAGCCTCAGACCTGTGAGCCTCCTGCTTCAGCCTGCTGAGTAACTGGGATTGCAGGTTTATGCCACTACGCCCCAGCCTATAATTTTAATAGGCAATATATGCATCACAATCAAAAGTGGATTATTAAAAGACGTAGTAAAAGTCTACTTCACCGCCTCCTCTTGAGTTCTCCCTCCCCACTGTGGCACTTAATTACTTCATTCTGTACACACTAAAAGGTAAATATATTCTCACTTTTCTGTATTAGGAGAAACTACATTTTCCCCACTAAGGTAACTAGGGGGTTTTGTTTGGTTTTTGGTTCTTCTGGGGATGGCACTCAGGCCATCACACATTTCAGGCAAGTGCTGCACCACTGATCTGAGACCCCAGCCCAGTGCAGCTGTCATTTCAGCTGACTTTGCTGTTAGGAAGATGGCTCTCACATTAATTAATGCTGCTTTCAACCCCTTATTTCTGCTTTACCTTTAATTCCCTCCCCCTTTCATTTATTTTTTCTTAATTTAAATTGGCATCTTTAATTCATTTGTCTTCTCTATCTTTATAGCTACAACTAGCTACTTCTACACATTTTCCCTCAGTGTTGCCTTAGTTGGGAAGCAGTGGTTTTAATGTAGCATTTCATGATTTTCATTTTTTAAGAATCCCTGCAATTTCTTTAACTTCAGAGCTAAAAGAAATGTTTTTCCTTTTAACTTCTAAGTGAAAGCAGTCAGGGTGTTGTTACTCGATTCTACTTTGCCTCCGTTCAGAACATCTGCGTTAATTATGCTTATTCAAGTGGGGAGTTTTTCACACTGTCATGGGGAAAATGCTCACACGTGTTCCAGCAGCCCTTGAGAGGATCAGTATCCCATCACACCCATGCACACTTCTCCAGCTGGATCTGATTCAGTCCCCAAACTCTAGGGAATCCTGGCTTACTGCTCTCCCTCAGGAGTCACCTGCCACAGCAGCTGCTTACTGGAAGCCCCAGACTCCATACCCTAACCCCACCATGCCTCTTCTGCACCCTCCTGCCCTAGGCTGCTGCTTTCTCCTTACTCTGGGACGAGGCCATCGAGTGTGCAAGGACAGGGCTCTGACCCCACACAGCTGCTGCTCCCTGGTGTCCAAGCCTCCTGGGCTGCCCCAGCTCCACGTGCTCATCAACACGTCGCCTGCCCAGCCCTGTAAAGCTACCCTCTGCCCCTCAGCTGGCTACTTCCTGCTTCTGCTCTGGTGTAGAATCCCTGGCTGGTGTGTAGCCCAGACCCTCAACCACCCAGTAGAGCATCCAGCACAATGGCAGGTTGAGTACACAGGGGCAAGGGATGCCCCCACCCCGTCCCAGGCCCTGCTGGCTTACCCGGCAGGATCTCGTGCCAGTTGACTCGGATGTAGCGGTCCCGGTCAGCCCGTGCGTGCTCGTGCCAGAAGCCCAGCACGTGCATGAGCTCGTGCAGGACGATGCCACGGCCCCTGCGGAGACAGGCGGGTGCCAGGGACACCACCTGCATCCCTCCACTGCGGCCCACACCAGAGAAGCACCTGCAGACACAAGAGCAAGCTGACTGGGTGCCATGCAGGCAAAGCATGGAGCAGATTGGGTCCTGTCCCTTCTCACCAGGTCCTGGAATAGACAAGCACTGGACAGGCAGTCCCCATCTGGACTCTAGCCAAATTTCCAGTACTTCCTCAAGTCCTCTTACAGCCTGGCCTTGGGGAAAATGGGCAAATGAGGCCTCACTGCTGGCCTGGGCTGCCAAGAGGTGGAAGTGACATTCAGAGAAACGACATATGCAGCTGAGCGGACCCACGACATAACCCCAGGTCACAGCCCCCACACCCGTTACCTTCCCAAGCCAGTTATGCTACTTCCCATCTTAGAGAGAAGGGGCTCAGAACTCAGGTGCTCCCTGAACTAACTCAAGTGACTGCCCAGAGTCTCCCTCAAAGCCTCTGGGAGACACAGGACTTGGAGGCAAGGGTCCCCACCTGGGGCACAAGGACCAGGCTCACACCAGGCACAGCCTTTGGGGAAGGTGGGGTGCAGGAGTCCAGGGCAGCCCAGAAACAGGGTTTAGACCACAGCTTGCTGCATTCCAGGCCAGACACAGACACAGGTTCTGTCTCTCCCACACTTGCCCCAAAACACTCACCCGGCCATGGGGATGATGGACACAAAATCTCTCTGGCCCTGGTAGGCAACAAACCGGATGCATGTGAAACGTTCAAACTCAGCAAATGCCTCCAGGATGACCCGGCGGCTGGGCTCATCTGGGGACGATACACCCTGGCTGAGTCCCTGCTGCAGGCTGGACCCAAACCTCTCAAGGCCAGAGGTCCCTACATTTTTTGGTACAAGAGATGGGTTTTGTGGAAGATAACTTTTCCATAGACTTTCAGGGGTAGAGAGAGCTAAGCTACCAGGTGATTCAAAAGAGCCTCAACCCAGAACCCTTGCATGAAAAATTCATGATAGGGTTTACCATGGCTCTGTGGAAACCTAATGTGAGTGTGCATCTTGAAGGGACCAGAGAGCCCTCATATGTCCCCCTAGGGTGGTCATTTCTTCCCAGCCCCTGTGGAAGGGCTCTGCAGGTGGGGAGAAGGAATGTGAACACACAGGAAAAGAGAAGAGAAGATCCCAGGCAGGAAGGTCCTTCAGTGTGGGGAGGTCCACGCCATGTCCACTCACCATATTTGCTGGACAGCAGGAAGGGGACCTCCACGATGCCACCAGCACTCTTGGGCCACTTATTGTTGGTCACAGACAACAGCCGAAAGGGACTCTGAGGAGAGAGGGCAGCTTGGGGATCTCTGGGGACACAGACCACCAAAGCTTTGTGTCCCCAAGAGTACCACGCCCTAGGCCACTAGGACATGAGAGGTGGGGTGGGGGTGAATGGGGCAGGGGGACAAAGTGCAGGAAGTTAAGGGCTGGCATGGGGACAGTGACGTCCTTGTCTAAGATGACAGACATGCAGGTAAACACAAGATCGGTGGCTGAGGTCACCCAGAGGTCCCAGACCCCTAAGGCACCCCGGTTTGGAGCTCCAAGCTCCACTCTGCAGCCCCCATGCTAGCACACGAGCAAACCGGTGCCACCCTGAAGAGGGAAGGCTGGGGTCCTCCAGGTTGATGCCCTCTCCCCGTCCCTCCTCCACCAGAACTCTTTCTGGCTCACACTGCTTTACCCCACCAGCCGCCCAAGACAGGACTTGACTCTGTCTTTCGGGGTCACAGGATCTCGGGGTTGGGGGGCTCTTCCATGCTTTGCTGAGTAACTGGGACCCAGCCTCCCCCTGCTGCAGGCTCTGAGCAGCCCGCCATCCTCTCTTCCCATCTCGCCTATAGGGGGCGCCTCAACCCAGCAGGAGCTTCAGCCATCCCGTGTCTGTCCCTCTCCCTCTCCCCTTCCCTCTCCTCCCATCCACCCCCCCAACACACACACACACACACACGCACACACGCACACACACGGTCTCAGTACAGAGGTTTGAGCTGGCCCTGAACTCAGAGATCCTCCTCCTTTCTCAGCCCCCCAAATTCTGGGATGACAGGGTACACCGCCATACCTGACAGTGCTGCTCCTCTCCACAAGTCACTCCTATTCCCACAGCCTCTTCCCTTGTGACATGGCCCTTATCCCCCAGCAAGGTGGTCTCTCCACATTCTCCCCTGCTCTGCTTCCCCAGGCATTGAGACGCCCAGGCTCTCCCCCAGCCCCAGGCCACTCTGTAGCCTGTGTTCATGACTTCATCTAACTGTTCCTTAGCAACTGCTCTGGCAGGGTCATGAGGGCTCTGGCCTCCTCCTCCAGGAAGCCATCCTTGGCTGAAAGTGGTGCCACCTCAGTGGCCACCCTGCCTCAGTGCCCATGCTGCTTTTCTCATAAAGCAGCCACCCAGACAACAAGAGGTGTCTGCCCAGCTGTGACAGACAAGTCGCTCCCGTGTCAACCCCCAAGGCTGAGCTCAGAGGGCCCTGGAGTGAGCGCTCACCGGCCGGATGATGTCCCCCTCCACCAGGAAGCTGCCATCTGGAGTCTCCTCCGGGATGAGCCCTGGGAGAAGAACACAGGGAGGTGTTTGGGCCTGTGACTGCCATGGCACTGGCTTCAGAGACAGGCCCAGCAGGGCTTCAGCTGCCAGGACCTGAAGCCCCAGGGTCTGTGTATCCCTCCACTTGGAGCAAGGGCTTCCAAGCTAAGTACTGAAGCCAGGTGGCCTTGGGGGAGTTGCAAAGCCCCTCTGAGCCCCAGCCCATGACCATTTCCTTCTATTCAGACATGGCCCTTGGCTCCCTCAGGCTCCTGTCCCCACTTGAGTCATTCATGGTTAGGAAGTAGCTTCTTCCAGCTGGGTCCTCCAGCCCCACTCCACACCACTCTTCAGAACCTGTCCTGGGCTCCCTACCTTGTCCCCATGAGCACCCTACTCATACAGTCACAACCAGGACCCTCGAGCTGCCAAGGGACAGAATCTCACCTGCACCACACGGCCACAGGAAGCCACCTGCCTGGCTCCTGCATGCCCCGCCCAGCCCAGCTTGTCCCCCTTCTAAACCCCTCCACAAGTGGCTTCTGAAAGAAATGGGACCTGGGAAGGACACAGCCCTGTCCCACCTTGAGGGAGCAGCCAGGCTTGGATCCCTCTATCCACCGTGGGCCACTCCAATGGGAAGGCGTGGCCTCCCAAATCCCTCTCCTGGGATCCATTGACAGCCAGCTGGGAGCCATTGAAAGCCATCACACACAGCAGCTGGGGATGCACCGCAGCTAGGGTGCCCAGCTTCTCAGGCAGGGCCACTTTAGGGGCTCCCTGAGAGCGTTGGAGTCACAAGTATCTGAAAGTCAGGGCCAGGGAGGTGCTAGGGTTCTGGTCCCTCCAGACCTTCCACGGTGAGCCAAGAGGGGAATGGTGTCCCCCAAAGGCTCAGCAATTGTGGAGGCTCCAAGCCAGCATAGAGAAAGAAGAGGACAGGTCACAGGATGGCCACCCCGAATCCACTAGATCACATGTGCTTGCACTTAAGAGTCCATCAGAAGGTAAGGTCACCCCGCTCTCCCAAAACTTCACCTGACTGTGTCCTTGTTCTTGGCTGAGAACCCAGAGAGGGAAGCCCTGAGTCTCAGGCAGGCCTAGTTACACCTGCACACTGTCCCTGCCAGGGTAGGTGATACCTTCTCAAACATCTGCTAAGGACTTAGCACAATATCTTGTACTCTTATGGGGCCACTTAAGACCTATAGTCTTAGCCTGGCAACTTAGTGATTTAGCAATACTGTCTCAAAAGAAAAAGAGCTGAGGATGTAGCTCACTGGGAAGGTACTAGGTTCAATCACCAGAAGTGCCTCCCCCAAAAAAAGACAACAGTCCATCTGAAAAGCTGCAGAAAAACAGATTTAAGCATTGGCCAGTAGGATTACTCCTGCTTAGAGCCAGCTGAGCCAGCTGGTATGTTTATTTCCTCCCAGCTTTTCCTGCACATTCAAATGCCAGTGTGGTTTTCACATCCCAGGGACGTGTCATACCCTTCCAGGCCACAAGGAGGAGCAGTGTCCTCACCTTGGTTAATTGCAGGGATGTCTTTGTCCCAGGACACCTGGGTCCCCTCAGATGTGAGGTCTTCTGAGAAGCTGTTGCTGCAGGCTCCTGTACACCGGGAGGCTGAAGATTCTCCAAGGATAACACCTGGCCAGACACAGTGTGGATACATGAGTACCCTGAGGGTCCTAGTGGAAACAGCACAGCAGGACCTGGGGTGGCTGCAAACCCCAGCCCTTCACTAGGGACGGCCCCACCTGAGCTCTTAAGGCCTGCCTAGCCCCAGTTCGGCTCAACAGGTGCCAAGGCCCAGAGAACTTCAAGGAAAGGGGGGTCCTTCAAGGGCTAACCCTGGGTTCGAAAATTCGTGTGCGAGCCAGGCTGGTAGTGTGAACCTTAATCTCAGCACTCTGGGAGGATGAAGCAGGAGGATAGCAAGTTTGGGCGACTTAGAAAAACCCCATCTCAATAAAAAACTTTAAAGGGACCTGAGGATGTAACAAATTGCAAAGGCCCTGGGTTTGATCCCCAGTGCCAACAAAAATATTTTAAAGTCATGTGCTGTGAAGGGGCAGGGGGTGGTGTTGAGAAAACACTGATAGCAGCACAGGGCCAGCCTCAGACCCCGCTTCTTGGCTGCCTTTCTCAACCCAGGCTTTCGGGAAATGAGCTCAGCCTGGAGGACCTAACTCCAGCCCCAGCTAGCCTGGTGTGGAAACCCCCACCCCATTACAGGGCTGTCTGGGACACAGCACCTGCTCCCTGCTGCCCCCAGGGTTTCTGAGGGCCTCCTCCCCAAGCCAGGTTTCCTTCTAGGAACACCCCAGAGAGCATGGAAGCGCACAGAAGCTCCCTGCAGCCCCTACTTCCCTTTCTGGCCTCTCTCTGTATCCTAGAAGCTGGAGTGAGAACTGTGAGGGCCAGGCAGCTGCTTACCTGGCAAGGAGAGCAGACCCAGCACCCAAGACCACAAGCCTCCCATGCTCCCCACGGCAGGTCCCCACTGGCCCCTCAACAAGCAAGACCAGTCACCAGCGGACAAGGCAGCCAGATCACCGACTTAGTCCCCCGCTTAAATAACAGCTTCTCCAGCACCCACCTGCAGCCCCCAACCACCTCCACCTGCAGCCCCCAACCACCTCCACCTGTGACCCCTCTTCCTCCCACATTGGTCCCCAGCCCAGGCTCCTCTGAGGTCCCCTCCTGCCACCAGAGGGTGAAGCATTGTAGAAGGGTGCTCTGGGAGCCGAGGTCCTCTTGGCTGTGCTCCCTCATCTTCCAGCTGAGGAGACCCCTTTTCTGTCCCTCACCCCACACAGACATGGGAAAAGCTGCCTGAGACTCCAAGATCCCCCAGGATATGCAGACAGAGGGAAAGTCACTACACCTTTTATTTTAGTATTTGTATAGAAAAGTGAAGGATCACAAGCAGGGTGTGGTGGCACACACCTGTAATTCCAGTATTTTGGAGGCTGAGACAAGGATCATCACAAGTTGAGGCCAGCCTGGGTTACATAGTGAAACCCTGTCCCAAAAAGCCAAAAGAGAGACAGACACAAAGACAGAGAGACTCACCATCACAAGTGCGGGGCTCCCTGATGTTTCACATTCTGAACACCCCTAGTTACCAGCACCCAGAGAAGCAGGAAAGATGGAGTTTAGGACACCAGACCTACCACTCACATGACCCCTCTCACACCTACAGCAGCCTGTGTGAGCAGCCCATGCTCGTCCCCCTCTTGCAGACTCGGAAAGCCGTGTTTCTTACCTGTCTTCCTCCTGTCTGTCACCAGCCTGGCTACCCAGGGGACCCTGGTTCAATCCTTAGGACCAAGGGGGAAAAAAGTGCTGAGAAAAAAGATTAAAATAATGATAACTATCACCACGCTTGAGTAGAGAAATGTGTCCTTCAAGAAGTCTGTCTTGAGGATAATTTTCTAAGACACAGACCAGGCTCAAGAAGACAGATGTGGCATGAGTCCACTTACTGAGGTCCCTGGTGTGGTCCAATTTGTGGACAGAAGCTGGGACAGTGGTCATCAGGGTGGGGAGCTAATGGCCAGAGGGTTTTTGTTCTATAAAATGGAAAGTTCAGGAGACTTTTTGTCCAGCCCTAATGGTTTACTAACACTACTGAACCCTTGAAACAGTAAAGGTGATTGATTCTGTATGCGTTTTTTTTTTTTTACTAGCATAATTAAATTGTTATATTTTTATTTTACTATTTTATCTTATTGGTTTTTTGAAACAAGATCTCACTAAGTATTCCACTGAGACCCCAAGACTCCAAGGAACACACTAGAAGGGCAAAGTGGAGGTCACTGGATGACCCCGAGTGGCTGGGAGTGTTAGGGTGAGCCATCCACCACCCAGCATCCTCTGCATCCCTTCAGGCAGCCTCAACACCACCCCTCAGCTTCTGGCACAAGGGGCCATGTTTCAGGTGTCTGTGACACCCAGTCCTGTACTGCACACTCCCTGATGTCCAATGGGAACATGCTAGCTGCAGGGGGGTGAGCTACTAATCCTTAGTGACAGCCTCTGCCTGGGACACTGGGCCACACTCTTCCTGGGGACAAGAAGGGGCTCTGGGACAGGGGCCACCATGTGCCCCAGCAGAGCCAGGCACCCTAAGGCCTTGGTCCCAGCCTGGGATTTGGGCAGAGGTGACAGCTATGCTAACCTCCTGTGAGGAAGGAGAGGCCTCATGATTGAACACACATGGGGAGACATTCCTGCATCAAATACATGTGCGTACATGGGCACACGCACGCACACACACACACACACACACACACACCAGCTGTGTGATCTGGGAAGGAAGTGGGTCTCATAGGCTCCAAATCTTGGCCTCTCAGCACCCAGAACTTCCAGTTCTGGGCCAAGGCCCTGAGCCAGGGTGCATGTGGGCCTTGATTCTTGGACAAATCAGGAAATAGCTCCCGACCCTTCTCCAGGACCTGGATGGAAGAACAGACACTGGGGAGTTGTTTTTTAAACAAAACAAATATTTTATTGACTCCCCCTCCCATGCTCTGTATAAATATAAAGTGCTAAGTTTGCAACCCCCGCTCACAGGGCCGGGAGGAAGTGGGGGAGGAGTGTTAAATGTCAGTTGGACACAAATAACTTTCCAGCGCCAACACAGGCGAGAAATGCTTGCGCACAGACACACGCAAGCAAAAGGTCCTTTATGTGACATACACATCACTTCCGAATTCTTGGCTCCTCCAGGAGCACAGGGCCTGGGCTCCAGGACCCCCAAACAGGATCCTGGTTGTCACAGCTTGTTCCTTTGGGCTCTCCGGCCTCAACATGGCAATGGGGCCAGAGTCCAGTGTGTAGAGTCCAGTTAATTTCTGCCAAGGAGGGGCAGGAAAGAGCAGGCTCTGTCCTTGTCCCCTGAATAAGAGCCAGCCCTTAAGTCCTCAGCAGAAGAGCACCAGGTAACAAAGGCCAGCATCGCTGCATTCCTAGTGTCCCCATGTGGGGCTTTTCAGACTCAGAGGAGGTAGCAGTCCCCCCCACGTGAGAGGTACACTTGGCTACAGGGGACCCCATATGTCCACCATTGGGGTGGCACCAGGGGTCCCGGCCGCACGTGGCAGGCAGACAGCCATGCTTCAGTGACACAGCACCTGCGTCTCAAACTGCAACAGCTGCCCCATGAAACTAAAGTTGGGAGAGATGACACCCCGGCGCTGCTTTACGAAGTCAAAGGCCTCATCCAGCCGCACCCGGCGGCTCTGGATCAGGTACGCCAGGCAGATGGTGGCAGAGCGAGAGATACCTGCTTGGCAGTGTACCAGCACCCGGCCACCGCTGTTCTTCACTGAGTCTGCAAGACAAGGTGGGAGTCAGCGGGGAGAGCACACCGCCAGGAGACCGTGCCTCCAACTTCCAGGCACCACAGTCCCCAGGTCCTGGACTGCCCCCCTTACCGATGAAGCCTATGGCCTCCTGGAACCACACGCTGATCTCTGCCATCTGATTGTCCTCCACAGGGATGCTCTTATAGCGCAGCAGGCCCTCAAAGTGGTTGGGGCAGCTGGAGGACACATTGAGGACAGCTGTGATGCCACAGGCCCGCAGGCCCTGCAGGTCCGATGAGTGGCTGCAGCTGCCCAGGTACAGGAAGGGCAGGATCTCCACGGGGCCACCCTGGAGGACAGGACAACAGAGCAATGCTGAGACCTTTTCAGCCCTGGCCTGGAGGGCCGAGCACCAAACAGGACACATCAACGGCTGGCCCAGGACCAGAGGAGCCCTCGGCCAGCACCAAGGGCAGGACTCAGAGGCTGAGGACACATAGATATACTCTAGGGACACGAGGCACTCTTCACATCCCAGGTACACTGGACAGATGCAGACTCACGGAACCCCTTTCCACACACAAACACACAGGCACACACGGTGAACACGCACCCAAAATAGCCTTCTCCTTTCCCTACAGGCGCCTATCTAGCATAGGGACAAGGGGACAGTGAGTAGGAGCCCCCATCTCAACTCACCTGGTCATAGATGGGAACCCTGAGGTCGGAGCTGCTGTTTTCGGCCCCGAAAGGGGGCAGCACCGGGGCGGGACCCTCAGAGCACAGATCCGGACAGCAGTCCTGGAAGCCATCGAAGCCTCCTGCAGGGGGCGAAGGCGCAGTTAGCGGAGTGGGTTCAACCGGGCCTGGGTTGGGGGGCGCATGGGTGGCGCACGGGGCAGAGGCGCTCACCTCGGAGGAAGCACACGGCGGTGGCA